CACCAAAAACTCAATGAAGACAAAGTCTCGTCTGTCGTACCACTTAGCAGCTGCTGGATGCCTGTTAGGGGAAATTTGTTTTTAAATTAAAGCTAGAACAGACAGGATAATTTACGGAGAACTATTTTATATGTGGATTTAATAATTTAAAACAATGGATAGAATATGTTAGCCAGGTTGATCGATCAGCTGATGTTTGATAATTTAAGGTCATAAAATATATCTCGTCAACCAGACAAAAATCCTTTTCACCATTTATTGGTAAAGACACTGTTTTCATTTAAGTAAATATTGTGCAAAATTAAGTTGCAATTTTAAGCATCTAAAAATTCAGCTTTGATCACAAATAAATTGCATTTTAAAATATATTCAAATAGAAAACAGTTATTTAAAATTGTAATAATATTTCACAATATTACTGTATTTGTCTGTCAAATAAATGTATCCTTGGTGAGCATAAGAGACTCCTTTCAAAACTTACCGACTCCCAAATTTTGAACATCACTGACTGTATATACTATAGACTGATATGTTTGTATATTTCTTTTTATTAAGTTATCAGAAAACAATTTGGTAGATATTTCACCTTGCTGTATTGCTAAATTAATTTTTTTTTTACATCTAATAAATGTCTTAGAAATGGCTTTTGGTGAGCATAAGAGACTTCTTTAAAAATCGTTACGCAATATAAATATTTTAATTAAGAGTCGACCACTATTAGGTAATATTAGGTGTCAAGTTCCCCACAAATACCAATAGTAGGTGAGGCAAAGAATACTCAATTCTCTCAACAATTGAGTCTGTAAAGAGCAGGTGGCATGAACATCTGACACACCACTTCAACCTACTACCTCCTTTCCTCAAATTCCCCATGATGTACTGAGAGCCTCACGGCTGAACTCTATGAAACAAGTAAACACTTAACAACAGAGGAATTTTAATGAATAAATTAACTAAATTCCATCCTCATAATAAATGCAATCTTCATACTGTCCATGCCCATGGGACCACATTCATTAATTGGTAACTGATGTTAAATTCCATCAGGGCACAAGCTTTTTATTTTTTATCAAGATAATATGATCACATGACTTGATGTTAAAGGGGTCATATGATGCTTTTTTAAAGATCATTATTTGGTGTATTTGGTGTAACAGAATATGTTGACATGCTTTAATGTTCAAAAAACACATTATTTTTCAAATACTGTACATTATTGTAGGTCCTCTATGCCCCGCCTCTCTCAAACGCTTCGTTTTCTACAAAGTCCCTCCTTTCGACAAGCGCAGTCTGCTCTGATTGGCCAGCTGACCCAGTGCATTGTGATTGGCCGAACACCGCAAGCACTCGTCGGAAATGTAACGCCCCTTACCATAATCGCGAGCGTCAGCTTTCAAAATAAATGTAGACAGTAAATAATGTCATTAGTTTTACCATCAGTTCAAGTTGCTAAAGGGGAACAGAGTCGCGTGACAGACACAGTGATGAAGCTGGTATGTGTTTGCAGTACACAAGCCACGGTTAAGACAGCTGACTCCACTGTGATGTGGAGAAACCACGCCCTCTTTCTTTGCGTGCACAATTGGGCACATTATGCAAATATTCCCACATAGTGAGGTAGATATGTGGGGGCGGGTTAGACCGAGCCGTTTTAGGTAGGTGTGGCAACCAGGGATCTTATCTATGCACAATCAGCTTGTAACACGCCAAAGAGAAAGGAAAACTTGAAATCGCATCATATGACCCCTTTAGTCTGTCCCAAGAATATCTGCCATTACAACAAAAATAGCACTTTTATTTAAAAACACAAACTTTTGATGAGAGGTTTAGATATAAATGAATCCCCGTCTTCTTGCAGTGGGTCTTCAGTGAATCTGCGTGTTATTGTCACTCATTCATTCATCTGGCCCTGAAGCACGTGCAGGCGGCGCGCTCATCTCGCGACTCATTCAACTATTAAAAAACCCCGATAAACTCCGTCACAACTCCCTGCGCGAGTCTGTCGATACTAAAACCCAATTTCACAAAGAACTGTGTGTTTACGAACAGAACATAGTGCAGCGTTTACACTACGAACATAGTGGCAAAAGGAGCAACATGCTAACACCGGTGAGCTGATCCAGGCTAACTGTAACGAGCTAACTTACATCACACACATTTCTACAAATATTACAGATTTCTGAAAGTAATGCTGTTATATCAAGCGTTTAATAAATCTGCCGAGAATTCCATCACGTTACCGGATAACTTAGTTTAACGACTCCGAGAGCAGTGAATGAGTCGTGCAGAAGTAACGTTAGCTAATGCTGGCTAGCCGTTAGCTTCACAGTCCATAGTTATTCAGTACCGGTTTCTGAAACGAGCTGTTTTTCGCATAAAGCAGAACAGATATTTTCGACAGAAAGCGCAGACTTACATGACTCTGGCGGCTCTGTGTGATGGTCGGATTTCTTCTGGTATGTTCTCTTCTTCTTCTTCTTTGGTGTATATTGGCGGTTGGCAACCTAACTCTGGTATGTTCTCCCGGGTTCTGTGTCACAGGAGTGCGAGGAGGCGGGGCCTCAAACCACGCCCCTCACAATCTTCTTCTTCTTCTCTTGGATAATGGTGGATTGCAAACAACTTTTAGGTGCATACCTACTGTAACATTGCAACATTATGTCATTTAGAGTGTTTTCATATTCTGTTCGTCAACCTTGACCTTGACCTTGACCCTGACCTTCTGTTCCCAGAATCCCCATCAAATTCCACTCCCGCCCTGCCTCCCGAACCCTATCTTGAAAAACCCGTCTTTCCACTCCACTCTCAGTCTTGTCATTATAATTTCTTCCCTCCTGGTCCTTTCCCTATCATTTTTAATACTGACAGACTTTAAGCCCCTCACAAAAAAAACGGAAGCGAGATCGCATTTGAGCACTTCCGGTTCCATCGTCCCAGACTGAATGGGTTTTTTGAATGGGAGTTTGATTCAATCCCCTAAAGTAAGGTCCGTGGTTAACACAAGCTCTAAATACTTTCACGTTTTATTCTATGAGTTACACCCCACTCATGATTTTTTTAAACTGTTACGTGTCTTCAAAAAGACGGTTGCTAAATGGGACTAACATTACAGGCGTTGTCGGAGACATTAAACGTCATCACGCCGAACAGTTGATCAATTTATAGAATTTTCCAGTTGTAGTATAATTAGTACAATTAATTGTAGAATAACCTATTAATAGTTTTTGCATAATGATGCATTTTAAAGTTAATGGCTAAACGGATGTTTATAAACGTTCACATTGTTGTTACAGATTAAATATAACACAATAACATTAAATACATATTTTTACCAGGTTAAATGCTGGTTATTAGAAACTCAAACCCCTTTAGCTAAACCTCTCAACAATTGGTCGCGCACATCCACCATGTTTGTAGTTATAGCGCTTTTTTATTTGTGTTTGTAGTTCCGAGTTTGTAGTTCACACTTCACAAATCGACCTGAAATAGTAGACCATCCGGGGACTTTTGGCATACTCTTTTCATCATACTATGCTTTGGGACACACTTATTCCCATCTCACTTATTCTTAATCTCATATCTCATTTATTCTAATCTCACATCTCACTTATTCTTAATCTCATTACTTATTCTAATCTCACATCTCACTTATTCCCATCTCACCTATTCTTAATCTCACATCTCACTTATTCCCATCTCACATCTCATTTATTCTAATCTCACTTATTCCCATCTCACTTATTCTTAATCTCATTACTTATTCTAATCTCACATCTCACTTATTCCCATCTCACATACTATTTAGGTTGGATAGTGTGAACATTGGGTCTAACCTCGTTACTTCACGCTACCTCCTCAACATTTTTGTCATATTAATAAAGTAATATAATCTCATTTTTTATGTTTTATTTGATAAATTTTTTTCTTGTCAATGATTCAGTCTATTTATAAATTGTATTGTTTTATCATTATTTTTTTAAATAATATCTACGATTTAATTTATTTTATTTTCATTTAGCTTATTTATTCGTTTGTTTATTTTTCTAATGTGTACCCTTTTTGCTTATGTATGTTTTTGCACTTGCATACATTCATGCAGCATAATGTATGAATGCATTTGTTTCTTACACTGAAAAAAGTGGTGTTGGATTTACTTTAAAATAATTTTCCCTCAGAAATAGCAAGAGAATTTCACAAATATTTACAAAGAAATGGCAAGCAACATACTGAATTAAACGTAAAAAGACTTAAAACAGTATTTTCTTGTAAAACGTACTCCAATCATGTATATGTGACACTTTCAGTTTGTACAGTATATATATATATATATATATATACACACACACACACACAGTACAAACAGAAAGTGCCACAAGTGTGTATATATATATATATATATATATATATATATACAAAGACAATTAATAATACTTTAAGCACTTGTCAATGATCAATTATAAATTATGTAGTATAGCATTCTTATTAGGCATGCTATTTAAATAAATTGTCAAATTGTCTAATCGGTATTTTAAAAAACAATTAAAGTAAGTAATTATCAGTATTTGTATTTAAGGAAAATTTAGCAAAATTGAGCTATTTAAGCTAAAGTTATTTAAACGGAAAAAAAGTCTTGCTTTTATTTTGAAATGAAGATTTGTAGCTCGGCGTCGGCTGCTTCGCGCTGCTTGTAGGGCAAACGACGACAGACGATTATAAACGCTGTTCTTATTCTCCGTCTTCGTTTACAGAGGATTCGTGCGTTTCCTCGCTTTTATTGGTATAATTAATCTGGTGTGTGTATGACTTGTCAGATTTGATCTCCCGCCGTGAGGCAGCTGACATCGTCCTAAACCTCTCCTCCTCCTCCTCCGGTTCAGCCTGAAGACATTCCTGCGCAGATCCTAATCAGCACACACGATGGACATGTGTTATGAGCGCCTGGCCAGTGTCTGCATCTGACTCGCCATGTAGGCATATTTTAGCATGTGATCGCGCTCGTGGCTGTGATGTCCGTAAGCAGCTGTCAAACCAGGTAACCTCTGCTGGATAAACCTCGGCTGATCGGCTGAAATGAGAGCTTAGAGAAGGGCCATGCGCGGACGAGCTGTGATTTAGGAGATGGGTGAGTATGAGGACCGTCTGCATGAGCTCGAGGTGGAGGCTAATTATTTCCCCCCTCCACCGCGGCACCCAGGCGGCCGCGAGCGACTCCACATCCAGAAGAGCAGCGTCTGCTCCAGGGCGTACTTCGTGGTGGTCATGGCCTTCTTCCACCTCTATATAATAAACATCATAGCTTTGCTGCTTTATGTGCACTATAACACGGGGTCTGGGGAGCAGGATGTACCCCTGGAGAAGAGTGCTAGTGCCCCTCGACCCATGCCTGCTGAACACCAGAGCCCATCCTCAGCAAGCCTGAGCCCTGAGCTCTCCTTCCAGCTGCCGCGCCTGGAGGGCATCCGGGTAAACGCACCGATATGTCATATATGTTTCTGTCCTATTCTAATTTGCCTTTGCATTTTAAAATATGAGAAGTCAGGGAGTGTTGAAACACATTTTGTTTCAACATCTGTAAGTGTTTTTTGCACAGTCTCATTTTTTTGATATATAACTTAATTTCCTATTTGTCTCTTATAAATTATGTGTAATGTGTAAAGTAATGTCAAGTACAAAAAATGCTGTTGTTCCAACCTACCCCACTAGCAGTCCTAATACTAATAGAAAACATGGACATTTTAAAGATTGTGCATGTTTAAAATAATTAAAGGGGTGCTATTATACTTTTTCACTTTTTCAACTTTAGTTAGTCGGTAATGTTGCTGTTTGAGCATAAAAAAGATCTGCAAAGTTACAAAGTTCAAAGTCCACTTCAAAAGGAGATATTTTATTTAACAGAAATCAAATTGATTTGATATTGATGCAATATTTACACTGAAGCTCGCCATACTATGGTAAGGGGCATGAAATTTCCCGACCAGGTGCCGAGTTCTGCCAATCACAGCACACACTGGCCCAGCTAACCAATCACAGATGACACTGGCCCAGCTAACCAATCACAACACGCACTGGCCCAACTAACCAATCACAACACGCACTGACCCAGCTAACCAATCACAACACGCACTGGCCCAGCTAACCAATCACAACACACACTGGCCCAGCTAACCAATCACAGCACTGTTCTAGTACACCCCCAAAACAAAATCAAGACTTTGTAAAAGAGCATAATAGGACCCCTTTAATAATGCATCCCCCGTCAGCACCCCCACCCTCATTTCATTTGAAATGTAGAAAAACAATTTTATTCAAAACAGTAATACGATAAGACTGGAGACAAAGAAATCCATAAAACCTTACATTTCTAATTTTTGCAATTTTAAGCATTTCAGACATATGACATCTTTATTATACACTGGGGGCATTGCTATTTTACCATTTATTAATATTTTGAATTAGCTTTTATTTATTTATTTATTTTTTCAGCTTTATTTTCATAGTGAGAAAATGTAAATTATATCAGGTTTTTATGATCTGTTTTTGCTGCAAACTCTAAAACTATATTTGGTTTAACTTTGTAAAAAATTCTTCAAAGGTGTTTTTCATTTCAGTTTAAGTTTTAGTCATTTTATTAAGTGCTGTTGTCACTTTTATTGTTATTTTTTAAAATTTCAGTGTAGCTTTAACTTGAACTTTTTTCATTTCAGATTTCGTTTTAGAAATTTTAGTACTACAACAAAGGCCAAGGCTATTTTATGTCAGTTAGTTGCTAAGGCAGTATTTCAAATTTGTAAGTGTTTTTTTTTTTTGTAGTTATTTAATATTTCCATTTGATATAATTTCAGCTTTATTTCAATTAATGAAACAATTTGAATATTAAAAGTTGTATTTTAGTTAATGATTACAACAAATTTAAAAAGTTGTAAAGAGAGAGAAAGGCGATTTATTGCGATCTCAAAAATGACTTGAATGACAAACATTAAAGTTGATGTTAGCTATCCAAGTCATTTTTCCCTCACTTGAGGGGCACTCTTTTCATAGAGTAATGCTGCTCTGTTTCTGTATGTGTAGTTAATGAGACTCCCATGTTATTAATGTTACTTCCATGTTATGTCTTTTCTGCTCAGGTTGGACACGTGCAGAGAGTTTCTCTGGTTCCCGACCGGACCCATAACATGCGCACCCTCAGCTTGAAACCTCTGCTGTTTGGTGAGTTTCCAATTTCAGCTGTAGAGATTCATTTTTATATATTAACTGTAAGTTTTGGTTTCAACATTATTACAGATCTCAAAGTGACCTCAACATTTGTGACAGAAAATGGACATGTGGACTCTAGTTTCAGAAAAGCTTTTGAAAAAGTTTAATATCTTAAGATTTAAAAATATAGTACAAGGATCTTCTATTATTTACAACATTATGAACACTCTGAGGTACGATTTCTGAAACTCTACCCTCTGCACCGATGGCTTTTCCACTTGCGTGCTGCTTGGCTGAGGTGCCGTGCCACTGGTGTTTCCCCCAGCTAAACGCTTTTGAGACCAGCAGTCTCTTGCCCGACACAGTGCCTGTCAGCAGGAAGGCTCCCCCGTCGGGATGGTTGCGGGTCAGGTTGCCCACGCAGGTGGCGTCCCGCTCCAGCCACAGCATCAGACGACTCCTCATTTCCCCGCCCAGCAGCGGGCCGTGCTTTAGGACCTCCAGCCAAGAGCCCAGGGAGAACATCGTCAGGACAGAACTACTGGAGTTCAGCTTGGACAGACGCACTTTAACCACTAGCAGAGAGAGAGAGAGAGAGAGAAAGACATGAGCAACGAGTTCCAGCATTAACAGTTTTAGGTTGTTGTGTATAAGCGAAAACTAGCATTTCTTACCAAAGTCACTTTTACAGAAGAGGTCGAGCAGGTCTTTGGATGACGTGGCCTCCTCCAGCTCACAGACTGTGCAGCTCGCACGCGGCACCACTGAAACCAACCACAAATATCAGTTTGACAGAGAAAACCCAGCATTGTTTCTATCTACATTTCTCTGCAAAACTGTGTGTGTAAAAAAAGAAAGATCTCTGTTTACCTCGGCCGTCATTGCTGGTGCTGTTTTGCATGTGCGCAACGGAGGAAATGCACATTAGGTGATCTTTGGGAAACTGGTCTCATTGTAGTATTCTAGGCCAGGGGTAACCGTAGCAGTTCATGATGGGGGCGCAGCTGTCCTGGACCGACGCACACAGACTCCTGCATGGTGAAATGATCCTGAAAAGACAGAGGCAAAGTGATGAGAGACTGTTAAGAGCTTTGTGTTGATATGATGCAGAAAAGTAGCATAAAGATGTGAGGTTTCTTAGCCTAAAGCCTGATAAATATATTTACTGGTGGCCAATTGCAGAAAGACATTATAAAATAGCAAAAAATAAATAAAGTAAAAAATTTTTTTTTATATTATATCATATTATATTTATTATATTTTATTTTATTTTATTTTATTTATTATTGGGGGCAGTCGTGGCCTAATGGATAGAGAGTTGGACTTGTAACCCAAATGTTGTGGGTTTGAGTCTCAGGTCTGGCAGGAAATGTAGGTGGGGGGAGTGAATAACCAGCACTCTCTCCACCCTCAATACCACAACTGAGGTGAGACCCTTGAGCGTGAGACCCTTGAGCAAGGCACCGAACCCTCAACTGCTTCTGGGTGTGTGTGGGTGTGCGTGTTTGTTCACTACTCACTGCTGTGTGTGTGCACTTGGATGGGTTAAATGCAGAGCACAAATTCCAAGTATGGGACACCAGTAGACATGTTTTAAATACATATATTTTATATTTTTTAATCAAATTGAACTGATTAACCCTTGTACTGTGCTGAAAATGCTTTATCTAATTGGTCAAAATGACCAGCCTTTTAAAAATAGTAATGTATGTAAATCTCTCGTTATGCTCTATTATCACCAATTCTTGGATTCAATCTTTTTGCCTGTTTGAGTGAAAAATATGGGGGGAAAAGCATTATTTGTGGCTTTCTCTGGCAATATTCACTTAAAAACTGGGGTGCATAAGCTCTGATCAGTGAGGCCTATGATCAGTCAGTTCCAAAAAATTAATACAAAACCTGTAGTGATTGAAAGAAAACAAGTTGAATTGAAATTCAAAGAAAATTGAGTCCAGGATTTGATGATAATAAAGCATAATAGAGATATTATATAATAGAGATAGATTTTTTTGTAGTACGGTAGGATTTTTGACCGGAAACACAAGTGTGATGTGGGAAAAATCCCAAAAACATTATATATATATATATATATATATATACATCCCTCTGATGCATTGTGGTCACTACAGTGGACATATACATATATATGTCACTGCATAATCAATATAATTGACATTACTGGTTGAATGCAATATGCAGACTGACAGTGGCATTGATGTGTGTTTCAGAGATCCCAGGATTCCTGAGTGTGGAGGAGAGCAGTGTGGTGATGCAGCTGGCTCAGCTGAAGGGCCTGACCCACAGCTCGCTCCTCACGGCCCCTGACAGCCAGGAGGAGACGCTCACTCAAGACGAGCTCTTCAGCCTGCTCGACCTCAACCAGGACGGCCTTCTGCAGAGGGAGGAGGTCAGACAGTCATTCTGCTAATGCTGACACATGTATCAGTTCAGTGGCTTAAAAGGGGGAAAATGAAAGTATTGTCATCATTAGCTGCTTTTCCACTGTCGTGCCAGTGCGAGCCAGTGCTTTAAACGGGCCAGGCGGGGCTAATAGCCTCGGACCTGTAGCACCGAGGCCAAAATCACGCTGTGTTTCCACCGTCGGGCCAGGAGCTCCGCTGCGCTTTACTAAAACCCGCCCTTTACACGCCTCTCAGGAACAACGTCACGCAACCCCATCATTTCACCAACAAAGAGAAGTTATCAGAAAACTAATAAGAAATAATATCTGTTAACTTTATGAAATGATCCGCGGCGCTGACGCTCTCCAGATGCGGAGAAACTCTGCCTTTGTTCATAACCACTACTCTAGCCCCAGCTGGCCCGCTTTGGCCCAAGGTTTTCGTCGGGCCAAAAAACCCGGGCCGTTGGCCCCGAGGAAGCACCAACAAGGCACGATCAAGCCCCGGAAGTGACAGCGAAACGCAACTGGCCCTGGCACGCACTAGCACGCCCGCTTTTGGCCTGAAAGTGGAAACACGGCTTTTTACTCGCACGTTGTTGCAAATCTGTGTGAGTTGTGGTGGACGGGAATATTTTCAGAGATAATGACTTTCAGTTAGGGGTGTGTGATATTTATCTTCTACGATAATATCGTAATTGTTGTTTTAGCAATGTGTGAGTTGACATTATTGAGTATGTCACTTCGCCAAAAACTAATGTAGATGAAGCTTATTAGAATGCAGTTAAAATGCCCACATAATTCAAGTTATATAGGTAAAATATCTTTGTATGGTGTTTTTAAAATATTTATAAGATAAGACATAGTTTAGTAATATCACACAAGAAAGAGTGTCGTTTTCCCGAATATTAGTGTGTGAGCGCAATTGCAAATTAGATTGATTTTATATAACAGTTCAACAAACAAGTCAATTTTGAGTGAGTTAAATTTTAGACACAACAGTGTCTGTTTTTTCTATTTCGCCAACAAAAATAGTTCCAAAGTCGGAGCAGAGCAACACTGCAGTGTTTCATTACTGAATCTGTTTTTGAACAAATCATTTGAGTGAGTGATTCAATGATCTATGCATAAAGATAGTCACTTGCTTCATTTCTAAATTAATCAGCTGTTTTGAATGAATCGTCTGAATGAATGAGTCAATAATTCACTCATTAAGACAGGGACTTGCTGACAGCTACTGGCGGTTTTAGTGTCGCGTCATTTTATTTTATTTTATTTTATTGCACACCCCTACTTTCAGTGTACAGGTGCATCTCAATAAATTAGAATGTCGTGGAAAAGTTCATTTATTGTATATGTACATATATATTTTTGCCCAAAACACTAGTTTTTATTGCTTCTTTGAAAGCTTAATAACTAATTTGTTGTTGCACGGAAGAAAATAATACAGTTTGGAACAATATGAGTGTGAGGAAATGATGACAGAATTCTATTTTTAGGTATATTGAGTGAATATGGAGAGAGCCGAGAGATAGAAACAGTAATAAAAATTAACATTCCCAGAATTAAAAGCATCTGTTCCGACGCAGATTTTGAGTCTGTCCCATTCGACTGATGGATCTTGGCTGAGCTCATACAATTTACGGAAAATCCACACCGGGTTGGAGCCCAGC